CAAACAATGTAAATAGTGTAAGTAATGAAGGTAAGCAATATAAATAATAATGTAAGTTTACAAACATAATATTAAATTATAACAATAGCCACCAAATATGAGTATGTATAGGTACGGAAATCTAGGTTCACTAACTCGGAAAGGCTTTTTTTCTCATTAGAAATCTGCGAACAAAAGCGTTTTTTGCACGCTAGCGTGGAAAGGTTTTTAAAATTCGAACTTGACGATGGACTGTGGTGCACCACTAGTATTTATTTGGTCTGTGGGTTTTTCAAACAAAAGATGATTGATATTTAGTACATTTGAATATTGGGCGTTTAGCGCTTTTCACATTCTCTGAATCTAATTCACGAGTTTTTCACTTGCGTCTTTCGCTTGCTTGCATTGGCTGGGTACACGGCGTAAAAATCTGCCTTCCGCGCAAAGGCGTTCACGAGTCATCCGCTTTGCGTTGCGGAGAGATTTGCGCGCATGCGTGGCTGTAGTGGACGCATGGACGCTGCTACTGTCTGTACTGTCCTCCGCAAAACTTCCTTGTTGCTAGCGTGGAAATATCAAGCTTGCTAGATATCAAACTCATGCAACGCAAAAGGAAATCCAACGCAAAGCAAGCGGCCGGCGCAAGCGAGCGACTCGTGACCAGTCCTAAGTGCGCGTACGCGACAGACCTTTGCGTATGCGCGCAGCGAGTCACTCAAGCAAGAGAAAAACGCACGTGAAAGTCTCGTGAACCCGGCATTAGAAGATTAAAATACAAACATCGTAAATAGTCACACCATTCCGGGATCATGGGATTTAAAAGAACAAAGAACATATTTTAAGAAGCCGCTTCTATATTTTGACAGCAATTCACGGGAAAATAATTAAATTTAGTTATAAAAGCATTCGAATGTACGATTACCGATATATCCGAATACCGATCTACTACCTTTAACTAATATGACCCTTGTTATTGTATTACATTTGCATATGTACCTAATCGATTTCGGCGAAGTAAGTAAATGAATGAATGAATGAATGATATTTATTTTTACTGTGTTACTGCAAAGGCTCGGGCGATCTCTTTTTATCTCAACGAGACGTTGAGTCTCCTTATTGATGTCATACTGTTAACATTGGATTGTATTTTTCTTCTAAATATTTAACTAATTGAATGGATGACCATTGATAATATTTTGCATAATATCGAGTATAATGACAACATTTGTATCAATGCCATATTTGATTGAATTTTGAAAGCTTCCTGAAATTCTTTGAAAAGGTGTGTTTCTTTCGATGAAAAGTAAAACATAATAACTCGTTCAACTTTTGTTTTTTATTTGTCGTTACTTATTTATGTAATAAAAATCCGTTAGTATATTTTATTCTTATTATTGTTGACATTAAATTGACAATGATAACATGTGTTTATTAAATTATTTTAATTTGTCGAAAAACTAAAACATTTTCAATAATCACTTAATTACACAAAATAAAAGTACAAGCGAGAATAAACAAAGAATAAAAAATTGATGAGGTGTACCTAAATTCAGAACGCATCCGAAGATAGACTTTTTCTTATATTTAAAAAAACTGATGTTTTATAGTTCAACTGTTTTTCTTTTATCTACCATTTTGCTCGCTATAGTGACGTGAAAAGTTGTGTGTTACCACAGACATATATTTAGATAGACGCCGCAAGTACAGCAATTTGTATGAAAACCAAGCAAATTTTTTGGGCCCACTATGACGTCACAAGAACTATTTAGTGATGGCAACCTCCTTCCGCTCTCTCTAAATCAATCGATTGAACGGAATACGCGACACGCGTATTCCAATCAATTAATCGATTCTAAATAAAATAATTTTTGTTCAAGTATTTGTTGTTTACAAGTAGTCGTAATATTATTATAGTAGAAAAATACTAGAATAAGATAGTTAAGTCCTTTATTTTACCTGTTTTAAAAAAATGTTGATTGACTGAATCCATATATATTAAAATTTTTAAATTTAAAACTGTTTATTACAAATATTAATAACAAGTTACAGTACATTCAAGGCAGAATCTTAAAATTAAAGATTATTTATCCTTTTCTAGTGAATTGCGTTAATATGTAAGGTACAACAATTAAATCAATGACCAGTTTGTGTAAGCCTCCTCTGATATTGATCTTTCATATAAAATCTTTTTAATTTGTTTTTGACTTGTATAGGATTTTTATCTGTTATTTCATTTAGAAGATTTTTTGGTAAGCTATTTAATATCACAGGAAGTTCACACATCCAAACTCTTTTACCATAATTATTGTTTGATTTAGGTATATCATACATAGGTAGATGTGATAGTGTACGTAACGAATTCGGTCTAATTTTAACCTTTAACGACTTTATTTTTCCACAATTTTCGGTTATGATTGCTAATTTAACTTTATCAAAGACATTCATTACGTTACAGTACTAAAATAGTTGGTCATAATTATCTTTAAATTTATATCTAATTCTAGGAGGTACAATGGTCTTAAGCAATCTTATTTGAAAGCTATAAATATTCTGTAGGAATGTTTTGTACGTACGACCTTAGCTCGAAATACAATAATTAATTATAGAGTCAGCCAGTGCCAAATATAACATTCTCAATGTATTATATGATAGTTTTTGTTTGAGTATACATAACTTGTTAAGTACCGCCCTAAGCTTATTACATACATGTTCAATATGTGGGCCCCAGTTAAATTTATGGTCAATTTTTAATCCGAGATACATACATATGTTCCTTTACCAATTCTAATGGTTTACAATGACAATTTATGGGCTGATGATGCATGCAATTATGATCGTGAGCTACAACTTGCGGTAAATGTCTACATTTTAAGTATGGTGACTGTTTATGTAAGAGTTTGGTTTTTTGAAAATTAATAGATAGACCCACATCATGTGCCCATTTACACAGTTTATCAAATTCTTGCTGCATCATGTGTTGGGCGACTTTTAAATCTTTGTGCGCGGTTAACAAACAAGTGTCATCAGCGAACTGGTATACTGAGCTCTCTCGTAATACGTTGCACATACCGTTCACATAAATTAGATATTCGGTTGGGCCTAGAATTGAGCTTTGGGCCGTGCCGCATACTGTTGGTATTAAGTCACTATTTTCACCGTTTATACTAACAGTGTCACATCTTTTTTGATGATAATTTTTAAACCAACTCAACATTGGGTCCTGTATACCATTTTGCTCCATTTTTTTATATAATGTTTTATAATTTAGCGCATCAAATGCCTTACTAAAATCTATCAAAACTGCTAGTAAATGGTTTTTATCATTTAGATGGCCATTTACTTCATCCGAAAATAAAGACAATAGTTTGGTGGTGCTTTTATTTTTTTTAAATCCGAATTGCTTCTCATTAATGATCTGATTGTTTACAAGAACTTATTAATTTCCCTCCCTATATATTTTTCTATAATCGCGTCAATACAGGATAATATTGTAATGGGCCTATACGTGTTAGTGTCAGTGAAGCTACCTTTCTTATGTATTGGTCTAATAACAACTATTTTTAATCTATCAGGATAAGTTGATGTTGTTATGCACCTATTTATCAAATGTTTAAGAACAGGTGCTATATCCAATGCAATGTATTTAATGTCCTTTGCCCTTATTTTATCTACACCAGGACTCTTATTGGAGTTAATACCTTCAATTATTTTTATCAATATATTTTCATTTATTTTCTTTAATTTAAATGAGACACTTGGCGTATTCATATACGTAATTTTGTCAAGCAATGGTGTGGTACAGTTATTAAATAGATTGTTTACGTTATTTTCGAAATCTTTTGCAAATTTATTTGATAAGTCTTTAGCTTTCATACTGAAGTACTTAATAAGTACTTCATCAATGACCGGTATAACCCTACCTGATAACCTATTTACAATTTCCCACATTTTCTTTGGATTCTTCAAATTACAATGGATTTCTTTTTTTATCGAATTATTTCTGGCTTTATTCATGAGTTTATTTGTTCAATTTCTATACCTTTTGTATATTAACTAATTTTTTTATTTGTTACATCTGATAAATGCAATTTTAGATGTTTACTTTTCATTCTAGTCATATCAATTAACTTATTAGATATCCAATTACATTTTTATATCCTATTTAAATATATATTTTTACTTTCTTTACACTTACTGTATATGTTTTCAAACACATTCAATATGTAATTAAGAATTTCATTTGGTTCGGGTATATGAAAAACCGGGCTCCAGTCAACGCAAGCAAGCTCCTGTCTTATTTTTGTGTTATTAAAAATGGTAGCGAATGTGTATCGTTGAACTGTATCCTCTCATATTTCGTATATCATTTCGTAAAGTAATTTCTCTTGATCCTTACGATTGTCGAATCCCAATTCAGTTTCGGATTCTTCGTCTTGAGGGTCCGGTAATATGACAGAAATACGTTTCGGTTTACAGCCATTCGTTGTGGAACAACGGTTACACTTCCAGTCAACAGATTCAGTCACGGATAACGCATTTAACTGATCTATTGATAATGATGCACATGAACCGTGAAACCACTTGCTACATTTGTTACACTGAACACCTGGGCTTTTCTTTCCAACTAATTTATTACATTTTGCACATTTCGCCATCTCGAAAAACAATTACATAAAGAATAACAACTTATACGTCCTTCCGCATTCGCTGCGCGCGGGCAAAAACACGGATCAGATCTAAGAAGTGTCAGATAGTACAACAGAAACATGAAAGTTTATTTTTAACCGACTTTAAAAAAGAAGGAATTTATCAATTCGACTGCATTTTTTGTGTGTACCTATGTTACGCGATTATTTATTTGTGAACCGATTATGACGATTCTTTTTTTATTGGTCTCATTTAAATTTTATTCAAAGATTCCACCTCTAAAGGTAGCAAACTAGGGGAAACTATGCCTGAAATAAAGAATTCTATTCTATTCTAAAGTTACGCAATTAGTGGAGTATTCGAATTTCACTTACCAGAGAACTGGGCCACTGTATGCCAGCAAACAAAACGTCCCGAAACCCTCGAAGATGTTTGTTTAATTTGTAATCATTATTGTTGGCATTTTTTAATGTTAACAAGTCACACATTAGACCTGCCACTGCGTATACTATTTGTAGGATCTGAAATACATATTGAATGTTATATTAGTACAAAAGACGAAATGCATTAAAAACTTAATTCTAAGTTTTTGTTTCTGTGACGGGATGAACAAGTCGTGCGCCTGTAGGCCACGCCAGTGCCACTCAGAACTTTAAACCGCAAAATTCTGAGATCTAAATTTTAAAACCTCACATTTATATCATCATCATCAGCCTATCGCAGTCCACTGCTGGACATAGGCCTCTCCCAATGTGCCCAATTTCGCCCGATCCTCAGAATGTCGCATCCATCTTCTGCCAGCAGCCTTTCGCAGATTGTCACTCTATCTGGCAAGAGAGCGTCCTATATTTGCCAAGCAGTAGTCGTAGCCATACTTACCTAATTTGTCAGCACCTTATATATTATATTTTTAAGATATTAAGTAACGGGACTAACAAGTCGTGCAACTGGTGATAAGCGACAAGCTTGTCCGTAACAGTTGCAGTGCCACTCAGAGCTTTAAATCGCATAGATCTAAGGGGCACTGCCAGTGCGCCCTTCACCCTGAAGACAAGTTGAAAAGTCTCATATATTTGTATTTATTTATTGTCACATAGTCAGGTGTTACATTACGATTAGAGTGTAGCACATAACCCTGAATACTGCAAGTCAAGATATTGAATACAATAAAATGTAACAAAATAAAATGTAGAATAAAAATTGAAAGGCGTAATAATCACAAATGTCAAAATATAAAATTGATGTCATTGACTTACAAATAAATGGACGACGGGTCTAATACAAAAACCACGAAAAAAATGTCCCAAGTCAACCTATTCGAAATTTAAATTGTAATGTCATCGCAGTATCGCGCTGTCAGTCGAACAAATGAAGACTAAAGCGGAGTTTGGCGCTCTGTATACGATTTTAGCGCCTTACAAGTGCGGACACTTTTTAGCGCGGACCCGACGTCCATATAATTATAAGTCAATGATTGATGTCGAAATAAACGTTATGGAGAAGGTCGACAGAATATAATATAGTAATTAATATCATGAATTCGTCAAAAATTAGTGTATAAACTCATTATTAATTAAGTATTTTACAGATTGAGTCATTGCATTCAATTTGTGTAATACACGTGTGTTGTATAATATCTTTTATTAATTAAATATTTTCTTACATTTTTAAAGAACAAATTAATTATCATTTGCTTCGTTTTTTATGTCAGGCGGTATATTATTTTAAATGTTTTTAGTATTATTTTATGGTGTACGCTGTTTTAGTACATTTCTAATTGTGCTATGTAATTTTACCAGCACCCTTACCCTTAAAAACCGGAACGCAGTAGTAATGTGAGCATTACAGCTTGGCGACAGAAATAGGTAAGGTGGCAGTACTTCCCTGGACAAACTCTTTCACAAGCAACTCTACTACTGCTAAATATTAGTACCTACGCTTATAAATATAATAAAGAACAAGCAGATACTTACAAATGTCCACCCAGTGAAAAATATCATTTGATTGCCCAAAAAAAACCTGATCGTTGAATCCTTATGGTCACCCTGGAATCGGCGCGTCATACACCAAATATTCACTAGGTGCATTATTATTGTTGTTATATAACCGAAGATGCGGTAGTAGATATAGTGCGACGTTACGCTGAAATATAATATTGTTTCTTTATCAATCTCTTAGATTTTTGCGAATGTTACACATTGGAAATGACACTACTGCTTTGGCTCTAAATGCCATTTTCTACTAAGCGACTCTGTTCTAATTCAAAGTCGCTGCCGCTGCAATGGTATAAAGATTTCTTTGAATAAATAAAAGACACGCGCATACAGTCGCCCGCGACTAACCGCTTAGTAAGAAATGCATATAATAGTATCATACCCATTGACACGACCGCAACTCAGAAGTCAAACAGAGTCGCGCGCGGCCAGCCGCTTCGCTTAGTGGAAAAAGGCACTAATCTAATATATAGATGATTTTAATGCCATCATGCGAAAGAAAACGGCCTCGCTGCTCTGCAGACTACGGGGTAGTTCCAATTCCATCCTAAGGGTAATAGCAGAGCGACACGATTCCCCGATCATAGCGACAGATGCATCTCGCACACAAAAATAGTGACTAAGTAAGTAGTAGTAATTGTAATAGTAGTTGTAATGTAATGGATTTCTCTATGACATGTGATTTTAAAAATTTTAGTTTTGTTCATGTTAATTGTTATTATTTTATTAGCTAATTTGAATTTTAATTGTTATTTTATTAATTGTGAATTTTAGTATTTTAAATTTTTACTTTCGATTAAATTATCATTATTATTTCAGTGACATAATATAAAAGTGACTTTTATATTATGTATTTTGAATATTTTGACATTTCGATTTTAAAAATTTTAATGTACACTTCATATTCAATACACCATAAATTCACCATACAGTAATTTGTTACTAATATAGTAAAAGGTTGCTAACTAACAAACTATGGACCTATGCTGTCTGAAAATAAAAGATTTTTATTTATTTATTTTTTTACTAATCGTCTATTCGGAATTGCGGAAGTTAATTTATCTAAAGTATGAACGTTTTCTCAGTATGGACATGCCCATTTCGTCATCAATATAATTGTTTGTTACAGTTTATTTTCCAAAATATAGGCTGTCTCGTGTTTATTTTTTAAATGGCTAAAGTATTTAAATACGTACGTACCTATATATAATATATATAAAACGCGCACACTCTTAGCCCCGCACTAGGGAAACCCTGTATCCCAGGTGCCATGGCAATGCAGTTGTGGACAACCACAAATTAATTACACCCAAACTCACGAGATAAATAAATGTAGGCCATACAAATATTTTTCTCTCTGCCCGGGAATCGAACCCGGGAAGGGACAGTGTCTGTGCGTGGCAGTCCAGGGTGGTAGCCGTTCGGGCACGGAGGCAGTCAACCTACCTAACCTAATTTGTAGCTAATACTTAATAGGAAAGAATAATACGTCACCAATGTACTCAAATTTCAATAAATAATACGCATATTCAAACAGAATCATTTCCGAGAAGTCCCGGGATTTGCAGAAAGGAATATCCGCATTATTCTTTAGTTCAACTAAATTAACGCCCTTGTTTCGATCACTGACATACGGCACAACCTCGATGCACGTTTAATAATTTATTTATTTATTATTTCACTTTTCAATTTCAAGATTTCTCACACATAGGTATTGATTCAATATAAGCTACTGCATCGATGCAGTCGAAATTTTCTATCATTGCAACCGCCTATAAACCGCAAGGGTCGTGATGCGATCTCGCGTTTCAGAAACGCGAGTTTCTATCTCTGTAACGGTAATTGGACTTGGACAGTGTTCACTACCTAATTTCCGTGGCAATTTTTATTATTTAAGTATGTACTCGATTTTTTATCTTGCAATATTATGCAATACTCAATACTCAATATTTTATTGCAAAACTATATCATACATAAGATTTTAATAACAAAGAAAAGGTCAGTATTATGGACCCCGCCGAGCACGCAATATAAGGGATAGAAGGAGAGAGAGAGAGAGATTAGAGATAAAATTCATGTCAGTGATTTTATACACATAACAATAATATACATATAATATATATGTGTATGTATTCGAGCGTTGTATCGTGAAATATTATTTAACAATAACACGATAATATACTTGAATATTTTAATAATAAAAATTGCCACGGAAATTAAATAGTGAACCCTAGTCCGAGAGTGACCGTCACAAGTCGCCGTGTGTAACCGCTCTTTGTTCTGTTAACAGAACAAATGGGAAGAAAAGTACCAGTAGTCATGTCAATAGAACTGTACAACAGAACTAGTGTGAATAGAGGTCTAAATATTATATTTAGGTAATTTTCACGTTACTTTTCTCTACCTAATTTCGGTGGCAAAAGTACGTGGAATTATCGATTTGTCAAGTTTGATTGAAATCACAAATACCACAGTAATCGCGTAACGGACTCAAAAAAAAGTTTTTTTTTAAGTCAGTTAAAAATACATTCGTAGTAGGTATCAGGTACTTACCTGTTTTTCAAGTTTTCTACTTGACCTTACTGCTGATGTCAAGCGGGTATGAATACTAAATTACCAAGGCTATTAATAATTACTACCATACTATAATTGAAAGTAAGTAGTAAGTTGTGGGAACAATTTTTTGCTACTTCTTATAATTTAATTTACTTTCACTTTTATAAAAATGTTATGCCTCCATCATTACGGGAAATGATGATTGTGCCAACTTCGTGATCAGAAAAAACATTAAGGGTCGTATTCTAGAACTCTACTCAATACTCAAGTCAGGACTTGAGTATTGCAATGAGCACTGAAAATAATACTCAAGCCCTTGCCATTAGGTTTGTATTTCCAGTGCTTGAAATCATACTCAAGTCTGCTCAAATCCTGACTTGAACATTGAGTAGAGTTCTAGAATACGACCCTCAGAGTCTATACTACCTCAAATGGTTTTGGTTGACCTATACTGTGACAATTATTAATCGGTAGCGATGATTTAATCCAACAAACAAAAATAACAAAACAAAAATATTCTACTCTAAGATTAATCTAACCGAATTATCTGGTCAAGTGGCAGCTTTTACTTTTTTTTTATAAGGTTTCACCCATTTATTTGGGTAGACAAAGGTAAATTGTAGAATTCATACAGCGTCTTCTTTTGTTAGCAATATTATCCTAGTTTTAATGGAAAGACAATATGTGACCATAAATATTCACAAAAAATACATACCTTATCTTCATTATGGCAAAACAGATCAACAATCAAACTAATTGTACCATAAATACAGTCAAAATGTCAAAAAACCACATTCCACGTTAGAGAATACGTCATGTCCGACAGAGCAACGGCACCACACTATTCCCACACTAATAACTTCATATAATGCTTTGAAATAACAAATATCAAAAGACCTCTTCCACCTTTACAGTCACCGTATAAAGTAATGGTGTGTGAGAGGTTTTAATAAACTAGATACTACGACAGACGTTTTTTAAGACTTAACTAGTATATCTGACAGAAAAAATATATGCAAAAAATGGATTTTTCTGCATTGACCAACTCAGGCTACAGAGGAGTTTTGTAATAACCTCGATAGCGAGGAAAACAATTGGTTGAATGGTTGATAAAGTAAAACTTACTACTGAAAATTAAGTTATAAAATCAAGGTCCTTTTAAGACTGGTCATTTGTGAATGACCATGTGTGTATATAATGTCTAACACAGAGTAGAATCCAAAGGGGATTTGGAAACCAAAATATTCACTCACTTGATGATACTGGCCGCGTAGCACGGATGATGACGACGAAGACACAATACAGGACGAAAAATCTAGCGCGGGTAACCTTTAATTTGGCGGACGTGCTTTTTACTTTTTTAATTTCAAATCATCTAATTTGGAATCGTTAAATCATTAAATATTTTGTTTCTTTGTCATACTATAGGTTATAAAGTTGTAACAATAACGAATTTTAAATCACAGTGATTCATGTTGTGGTGTACAAAGTTTTCTTAGTTTTAGTAATTCACATGCAATAATTTGTAATATACTATAATCATGCAGTCCAATTAACGCAACCTAACACTAACAAGTTTCATAAAAACATCACACGAGTGTAATTATGTACAGTTACAAATTTATCTACACACATATTATAAGCTCTATGATGTTTTCAGGAACCGCATATTACGACTAGCATTGTGGTATTGATCAGAGCTATTAGCAGTAATTATTAGTAAAATAATGAAAGAAAACAAACTACATGGCGGCAAAAACTTTTCTCACACAACCGTAGTTTTTTTTTTAAATCACAGACAAACTAGAATCGGCCCCAACTACCATATCGTTCGATATCAAGTAACGTGTGAGATTTGTCAAAATTGTTTTCTATTTACTTTTCATTTCGAATAAAACTTTATCTCGACTCATATTACAATTGAGGTCGAATCAAATTGTTTTGTTTTTCAGATATGTTCGAAATTTGAATGTAATAATAAAATCAAATTTGATGTTATTATTAAATGCAATAATAACATTTTCACAGATCACAAATTTGTTCTAACAAAACAGTTTATCTTTGTGCTGGTCGTGATTTGCGGTTTTTGAACACATCTTAGAGGGTTTATGATGTGTAGATAAATAATAATTTCTTAGATTCTGCACAATCATTGCAATTCCTAAATTCACGTGGTCATCTGTTGAAGACCTTCGTAGCCATTAAGTACTATACACTCTTTTGAAGTAGAGCAGTTTTCCATGATCTAAAATTACTTTGGCCCATTCTCCTTCCGATACTTGAATACGCAGATGTTTGCTTCTCGGATTTGTCAGTCACCCTGCTCAATAAATTGGAACGACTCCAAAATATGTATATAAGGTTCATCTGCGGACTTCGTAAATTTGTCGATGTCTCCCAATTTCGTGAACAACTTAAATGGCTGCTCATCCACCAGTGTATTGCGCACAGCAAGACTTCATATTGTGTCCCTTCTTAACTCAATTCTATTCTGTCCCTTTACGCCATCTTATCTCACAAATCGCTTTACTTTCCACTCTTCTACACTCTGCCTTCCCTTTCGCTCATCTGATACCCTCTCATACCTCTATTTTTTATTCCAACTCTTTTACCATTTCCATGATCAAACTGTGGAATTCCCTCCGTGAATCGATTCAACGTTTCCCTTCTCTTGATTCCTTCAAACAACGTGTCAAGGATCACTTCCTGAACTCCTAAGTTTTATTGTTGAAGTGTACCTACTTCATTTTTCTTTTTCCTTTTAAAGAATATAAGCATTTAATATTATTATTTATGTATTGTTATGTATTATATATAATAATATTTGTATGGATATTTCTATCTACGTGTATGAGTTTATTAATAATTATTATGTAGTGCACCTACTTATAATGACATTAATTGGTTTTATAATGACATTAATTGGTTTTTGGCACCCCTTTTGCATATCCAAATTTCTATTCTAAGATTGCCTGGAAAAAATTGCTACATAGCAATAAGGCCGCCTATTGTGCATTTATACATAAATTACTGTATTGTACTTTAACTGTAATTTTACGTGCAATAATGAATATTTCATTCATTCATTCATGATCTAGATTTCAGTTGATCAGAACGGCGCGCCCGTGTGACGTATTCAAATAATTAAGATGATGCTTTATGAAAAGTGATATTTCAAATATGTATAAGCATAGTAGAATCAGTATTTTCAAATTTTTTAAATGTGGTTGACAACTATCTGTTTCTTTATCAAGCCGCATATAGCCCGAATACTTAAATCTCTTTTGAGCTTTGAATATGCATTCAATGTACGTGCCGTTAGAGTTATTTGTGTAAATTTCTGTGTACCCTCTTTAGTGTTTAGTGTATAGTGTTCGTATTTAGGTAAGTCTTTTCTTTATTATGGGGGTAGATCCCCCTGACGACACAGGACTAGGCTCTGGGTCTGGGCCTCCATTAACATATGTTGATATTGACGACTCATCAATGGGTACTAAGCCAGTCTTCCTTTACCTGATCGTAAAAGAGTTAAACCTCGAAAAATCTGCCGTCATTGTAATAAAAAATGTTGGAAAAGAGATGGCAAACCCATTGACTTACAAAGTACCTTTACAGTATTGTCAATCTGAACAATGTTCCAAGAAACTTAAATTACCCATTTTTGGTGATACCAATACTGGTATACCATATCTAATAGTCTGTATATATTTACCATTGTTGGTGCTAATAATGAGTACTATACATTATAATCCGCCCCACAAACATAATAGGGATGCTAACGCATCTCCGCCCATCCAACCATTTATGCCATAGTCAATGATTTATGCATTTAAATTTTGACAGTTCTAATCTAATTGTAGTCAATTAGTGATGTCCTAATGTGTTTCCGATTCCATTTTTTATAACAATCGATTTTATTTATGAAGATTTTAATTATGTAACGTAGATTGTTCAAGTTGATAAATTGTGGTACAGTCAAGAGCACGTCAAGCTTCACACTTGTACTTTGGACCGTTCTTATCGTAAGCGGCATAGAGTTGGATTTAAATCTTAAGTGTCAAGCTTGACATGCTCTTGACTCTGTACGGACTGTACCTGTCTAATAAATTATAATGAAATGAAATAAAATAAAAATAATTATAATAAATTTTTATTGTTTATTCCAATGAATCGTCGGATTCTTCTATATATGAACAGGAATCATCACTTAAATCCTCATTAATTATTAATTCTTGAGTACACAAATTGTCAAACGCACCATCACGATCCCAATCAGACAAAATCTTCTTTTTTGAATCCACTCACATTCACGATTAAAACTTCTTCCTAAAAAAATCGATTGTTATAAAGAATCGAATCGGAAACGCATTGTGACATCGCCAATTGATTAGAATTCGAACTGTCAAAAGTTAAATAAATGGTTGGACGAAGTATAGGAATTGTTATATAATATGATGTCCTGACACTGACCGAAAGGAATTAGTTCCTTGTGCACGATCTTACAAGTTCACCTGTTTTTTAGTTCAGAAGGAATAGGAACTGTTTGCGGAGCTCCAGACGCGGGCGAGACGACGCGAGCGAGATAATTAGTGGATTATCCTTAGGTATAAGGTTTGAACCTTAAAGACTTGAGGTGCACGGTTGACCGTGCATCTCAAGCAAAATAAAGTAGTTTAGACTACTTTGTTCGGGATGCAAGGTTGAACCTTGCCAGCTCCTTTAGGAGGCAATTCTAAAATAAATTGAACTTGTTTCACGACTTTTATTTTATTTATCAAATTCAACACACACGCCATGATAATACATTATTATTAATTAACCTATATAAAATAACATACTCAAACCAACAAATATACATTATATTTTGAAATAAAATTATAATGTAAATTTTATAAAACTAAAGAAACTATAAAACTAATACTACCTACCGCATATAAGATCATAGAATATTACTATGAATCTCCTAAAACTAAATACATATTTGTAAGCCTGGGAATACATGTCAGATTTCGTGTCTGATAGTCGGTTCCAGTTATCTGATTATATTCACTCAATTCACATCCAATTCATACATCAGACTTTTCTGAACTCAGTCATTTCGAGAACTATGAACTTGGTTTAAGCTAAAGGTAGACTTTTGTTTTGTAATTCACGCTAAATAACACTTCAAAGGAGATACCTAATAATAATACGAGATTTCGAATTATATTCTTCAGAAATCTTTCTGTTAAGCTTTTCACTTTTTCAAATTTTTCGGAAAATTACCAAACTGCACTCATGAACGTCATTTAGATGCCAACACAAATTACTCCATTTAATTGGCAGGAAATCAAACAGAGTGGCAAATTCAATTTATCCTATCCAATGAAATGTCAGGTTTTATAGGTTTTCTTCATTGATTTTAACAACAAATTTTGAATATGGATCCTCACCATAACGGGGGACCAGGCATTAAAGAAAAGGAAAATAATGATGTATCCAGCAACAACTCTAATCGGCAGCAAAATAGTAGGTACAAAACTAATACAAAGCCTAATCACAAAAAGCTATTCCTGGAACACAGTACAAGAGAGTTTACCATACCTATATGTCGAATCTACCGAGTAAGACAACAAAGGAAACAAAAACCCCATAACTTTGACTAAACAATTCACAGAGAATAAGAATTACTGGCGTACACAGAGTAAGTGCTCACAGAATCGGAGCTAATTTCAAAAAAGCATCACGCGCAATCTTTTTTTTATAAACAAGAAGTTTTTTAACCAAACATAAAATAAAAGCATTTGTACTTTGTAGTTTGTTTACCTAAACTTCGAGGAACATAGACAGAAAATGGAGACTGCCTTACGACAATATTTTTAGGTCCCAGGACCTTTTCGGGATCGGGGTAATCACTTAAGAACATTAAAAATTGACGTAATTGGCGACAGGCAGGTACACTATATTTATGTTAACTTTGCACAGTGGGTCGGATCTGCGATATTGCGGACATTGGATTTTTTTCACAATACCTCTCTAAAAAAATGCCAATCCAGAGATCCTATTGTCCTAATTGAATATTGAACCTTATGTCTAAGTTAGTGAACACACAAATACATATCGACACTTGAAAGGCAAAATGGGATAAGCAACACGTTTGGCTCATATCAGCTAATGTTTCTGTTCCAATGGTAAAGTGAAAAGTGTCGCTTATGTCATTTTGCCTTTCAAGTGTCGATATTTTAATTTTTATTTAATGCATGGTCTTTCAACAATTCGACTCTGACAAGTCTGTAACAGGTCACACTGCTACTATGTGTCTTTGTATGATCCTTGAGATAACATTTTCTTCTAAAACCCTTATTGCAAATATCACACTTGTACGGTTTCTCGCCAGTATGAATCATCAAATGCTGCTTGAGAAAATATTTTTTTACAAAACGTTTATGGCAAATATCACACTTGTGTGGCTTCTTCCCAGTATGGTTCATTAAATGATATTTCAGTAAAGTTTTGTCCCCAAAACATCTACTGCAAATATTACACTTGTATGGTGTCTGTCCAATACAAAACTTTATATGACTATTCCGATTTGCTTTACTATGAAAAGACTTGTTACAATGTTCACACTTGAATGGTCTCTCGCCAGTATGAAGCCTCAAATGTTGTCTACAATAGGCTTTGCTGGCAAAAGATTTATCACAATGTTCACATTTGTACGGTTTCTCTCTAGTATGAGTAATTAAATGTTGATTAAGGTTTGCTTTACTGTAAAAAGATTTGTCACAATGTTCACATTCGTATGGTTTCTCTCCAGTGTGAAGCCTTAAATGTTTATTAAAATAAGCTTTACTGTTAAAAGATTTGTTACAATGTTCACATTTGTATGGTCTCTCTCCAGTATGAATGATTAAATGTTGGTTAAAGTTTGCTTTACTGTTAAAAGATTTGTTACAATGTTCACACTTGTATGGTTTCTCTCCTGAATGGATAATTACATGTTTGTTGAGATATGATTTTTGGGTAAAAGATTTGCTACAGTGGTTACACTCATATACTTTCTCTCCAGTATGAGTCAGTTTATGACTAATTTTGTTGACAGTAGGTGGCTGCAACACCACTGGACCTATGACCACCTCTTTCTTGATTTCATGATCTGCATACAGATTCGGCGTCTCTGTGTTATGTACTTCCTCAACATCAACTGGCTCTTGTTTGATATTAATAGTCACAAGCAAACCCATTGGGCTGTTTTTCAACTCGCTTGCCTCCTCCTTAACATTCACAATTTCGTGTTTTACGTCCATGTGTGACATTGTTAGCTGTTACAGGCAATTTAATTGTAAACTTACTATTGTAACATACACAGGGATAATCACTTTTCACGGTGAGTTCAGAATGCTATCCAAGGTTGTTTTAATCTGAAACAAAATGCAATTTATAAATTAATTACTTATGTGTAACAGATTTTAATCCAGTGTTCAGTGTTGGACAAGTTGATTGACAAAATAGGCTTTTCCATGTTAAAGTGTTGGTGTGAACAACGAACTCACATCATGCCTTCTATGAGATACCATTGTTGGTGAGTATTATACTCCGTCCAACAGTTTCCAATTCCAATTTCTTTATAATGGCTCTATCGATTTACACTATGATTCTACTAATGTCAGGGTTGAAAAGAACACTTTTACGTTGGTGTGACTATGTACGGTTGGATAGCCGGAGATCAATTGAGTATGATGAGATAGATTCTCAAAGAGACAACACAAAAACACAAATCAGACATTCACATCACATGCATATATAAAAAATAAAATAGAAGGGGGGATGGGTTTATAAATATATAATATTGTACTGTAACTACATTTTTAACAGAAAATAGTTTTTAATAGACAAGGTAATTACAATTTAATATTGTTGATTTGGATAAATTTGGACAGGGTATTTACAAAAGGACTATGAACTTGGGTCAAAAGAAATACTAGATTAATGGGATGGGGCATATTTTCAGGGAGCAGGTCGTACAGGTGGACACTCTTATGTTTGTACAGTAGAAAAATATATGATCTAAAGTACCCTCTTCCTGTCAGCATTCACAAATGGAATTGTCTAAGAGACGATTCCATTTGTGAATGCTGACCCTAATCTAAAAAACTGGTGAAGTTAGTGTCCTAGGCGCAGTCAAATAATTATAGACATTACCAGTTTACTTAGGTTTGTGCGCTTAAAGAACCTAGGACGACGAGGTATGTCCGGTTGAAGGTCTCCGTATTTTTTGCCTTTAGATAAGCGGATCTTCTGCCAGAGATTGTCCCAAATCTTAAATATTTGGGGTTTGGCTGAAATATGGAGGTCCCGGGTATAGCATTGATAATGTGTGATATTTCCAAGCCGGGTGGCTTCCTCAGCACATAAGTCAGCTGTTTCATTCCCCAGAATACCGCAGTGGTCTGGAATCCATGTCAGAACGACTTCAATACCCGCCAGTTCGCATCTATATAGAGCATCTTTGATTTTAAGACTCAAAAAAAAATTATCTTTACCATGGAAGAGAAGGCCGAATATCTTGTAGACAACTAAGTGAATCCAATAATATGATTGTTTTGTTTAGGTGGTGAGATTCGGGGTACAGGACTGCTTCCAAGATTGCGATCGCTTCGCCCGTAAATACTGAGGCCAGGGGGAGATTTAAAATTGAGAATCCTCAATTTTAAATCCCCAAGTACAAAATAATCATTTTGTACTTGGGGATCCACACTGCAGATCCGACATTATCTTCTGCTAATTTAGAGGCGTCAGTATATAGACAGAGCCAATTATTCCAATCCTTCTTAATTATGTTTTCTAATTTTCAGTTTGCATTTGCAGAATTTTTATCAGTGCCAATATTGAGAATAGTAGGTTGGTGTATTTAGGAGTCACAAATTAAAAAAATGGGTTTTTGTTATATTATATACTGGTATGTTTTCGGTATTTGAAAATGTATTTAGGCTATTCACTAAAAGAGGGGGGTCCTAATGGGACCAATAATTAGAGGTTGGGATCAACTGGTGGAGCGATTGAAGCTTTTCAAGCAACGGATGAGACGAGATTTCTAGAACCTTGCATAAGAACCTGTCACACAGATGTTGTCTTCGGAGATAGAGAGGCGGCTCTGAGCACTCTACCTAGAGCGCGTTAAAAGGGGAGGATTTCATAGGGCCAGTTATGATCCGAAGACATTTGGATTGGATTTTGTCCAGTTTGCAGAGGGCTATTTTGTGGCAGGGTTCTAGAAGGAATCCGCCGTAATCAAAGTGACTGCGGAGTATGGCATTGTATAGCATTGTTTGGCTGTAGGGGTAGGATCCCCAGCGTACACCAAAAAGTGCTCGCATCGCATTAATACCGGAGTCAACTTTTCTGCATATATAGTTAAGATGATGAACACCTGTCATTTTAGCGTCAAGGATGAGACCGAGAAATTTGACTTGGTCCTGAACATCAACCTGTTGACCATTTACGGATAAAGTGACTTCAGGAATACTTCGCTTCCTAGTAAAAACAATAGCGTTATACTTAGCCACTGAGAGAGATAGTACGTGATCTGTGAGCCAGTTATTGAGATAAAAGAGGACTGAATTAAGTCGGTTAGTTGCGTCTATCACCGATGCCGAAGACGCGTATAGGGCAATACCATCTGCGTATTGCAGAATATTGCAAAAGCAGTCTACCGTTTTATCGAGGTCGGAAGTGTATACGCTATATAGCAAGGGGCTCAAGACAGATCCCTGAGGTAGACCTTCCCAGACCAGTCTTGGGGGTTCATAATTTCCCTTGACACATAGAGATATGGAGCGCTCCATAAACATACCGCGAATTGTGTTAACCAACCTAACCTCAGCTGAAGCATTTTCTACCTGAGAATTGGAAGTTGTACATTGTCATATGCAGAAGTTATGTCCAGGAATACTCCAACTACGTGATGGTTTTTAGAGAAAGCCGACCGGATATCAGTGGTAAGAACACTAAGACTATCTAAGGTGCCCATTCCTCGTCTAAAGCCAAATTGGGATTTAGAAAGCAGTCCCCTGCTCTGCTGTCGATAGGATGTTGCCATATTGGGATCTTTGTCTGGTTTGAGAATTGGGACTATTATTTGTGTCTTCCAACTTTGCGGTATTCTACAGGTCTCAAAGAAATTATTGATTAAATTTAGAAAAAATGTTTTGGAACTAGTTGACGATTTAGTAATAAAAGAGTAGGGGATACCGTTAACACCTGGTGAGGAGTCCCTTAGATTATCCAATGCACAGTTTAACTCGGCAAATGTGAATATGTCCTCCATTCTATCTGGTAAGCTTCTCGACGTAGGGGATGTGGGAAGGCAATCCTCATCAGGTACAAAGGCGGGGGCCAGTGTGCCCTCGAATCCGGTGAGCAAAGGATCGGCAATGTTAGGGGTACGATTATTAGTCGATGACGTTGATCTTCTGAAACATTTGACCTTTTTCCATATTAGTGATGCGGGGGAGCGTGGAGAAAGAGTCTCACAGAATCTCTGCCATCCCAAGTCTTTCTTTTTGGCGATCTTTTAATACGTGCTGATGTTTTTTGGAAGGTATATAGTAGTAGTAGTAGTAGGTACATAATATAGTTGCCCATATTGAGATCAGCAGCATAGATATTCTCGACTAAATTTTGCTCGCGAACACTGGCAGTGCATTCAGAATCCCACCACAGAGGAGAAGAAAGCTTACCATTAGCTGAATTTTTAATGGGGATAAATTTAATTGCTGCTGTAGAAAGAGCGCCTGCGAATTTACCATATAGATTCAAGAAGTTATCAGAATTAAAATCTGGTGAATTTGATAATTCCTCTTCAAGAATAGAGGAGAACTTGTCCCAGTCCGATTTCTCCAATCGATAAAAATATCGATTGCTCCTCTTTTAAAAAAAAGGGGAGCAATGTCCCTGGGAGAGAGGGCGGAATGATGGAGCACTTTCCAATTGAGAAGAGGGGCCATTGAGGGCGAAACCAGAGTTAGGTCAATGGCACTAGGGTTTTGGATAGGTAAGACTCTGCGAGTGGCTGAACCATCATATAAGACGCAGACGTTAATATCCAGGAAATCTAAGAAGAAGTGAGAGCCCCACATGGTATGTTTACAGTTAAAATCTACCAGGATGATAAGAGGGCCATTAATTGGGGCAAGGAGGGTTTTTAATTCCATTATTAGTTCTAGGGAAGGGTAAACAGATATGAAGGAAATATTCATTGCTCTGGCAGCGACAACATGCAGTCTATGTGGAGGAATAGGAATCTCATTGTAGGAGATAGATCTACTGATGAATAAAGAACAGCCAGCCCATCCATCATCCCTGTCATCCTGGAGACACGAAAAGCCAGGTAACCTAAACTGGCGCCCCGGCCTAAGCCACGTCTCGGAAATGGCAAGAACAACAAAAATTTCTTGTTTTTTATTTTTTATTTTTCTACAATTCCTTTGGAGGAAACTAAGGTCCATTATAAGGTTTATTTTTAAACATGGTTATCTACGATTGAGCAGGGTCAAAACATAAGGAGGAATAATATCTGAGAATTTTTCTAGGATGTTTATTAAAGTAGCAGTGAGTAGTTCAGCTAAGTTATCAATAGGGGATGGTGAGTCGGGTTCTTCAGGCCTATTTAAGACATTACCATTTGGAAGTGAGAATGCCGGGGTCGCAGTTACATTGACAGTCTTTCTGTAAGAAGTCTGAGATGTAGGTGTGGACAATACATTTTTTGGAGACTGGTAATTGGGACGGGGGGGGGGTCTGTGGGGTCTGAGTGGTCCTAATAGACTCTGAATAAGAAAATCTCACACACCTGAAACATTTTGATGCTTCTGAGTAAGAGATGTTCTATTCAGATATAACAATTTTTAGGGATTTTTTTTAGTAGCCTTATGTTTTCCTGGACACAGGAAACAAGATACATTTAAGTCAGCTACATCATAAGAATCACCTGTGTGATTTTCAGAGCATTTTTAGGACTGAGGCTTTGAGCGGCAGTCCTTACTTACGTGACCAAATCATGAGCAATTACGACATTGAACCGTAGGTAATTGATAAATCTCGATTGGGAGACATATTAAAGCAATATACTTTATCAGGAAGTACCTGCCCAACAAAAGTTAAAACCGCACTTGATGTCAGGGTCCATTCACTTACACCATCAGTAGTAACATTTCTTGATAGGCGTCTGGCTCTGATAACTGAACTGCATGTACTGGGAGATTTCAGGGAGGACAGAAATTCTTCCATTGACCAGTCCTTGGGGACATGACAAACTATTCCCATACATGATACCTGGTATCTTACGAATGTTAGCAGTAAGTTTATTCTTATTTAAGAATTCAGTCTATAAACAGGTTTGTTTCTTCTGGAGTCTTGAATTCTACGCACACTTTATTCCTGCCTAACTATCTAATCCCACCTTGTACAGTGCCGGGAACTTTATTTTTGTGAAGTAATTGAGCTACTTTAATGGCACTAACTGTCACTGCCAGGAAAATGGATATCATCGATTTTTGATATCTGAACAGAGAATGGCGCTTTGTCAAAGGATGAGAACTTGATTTTAAAATCTTTTTCGTAACCAGGAACAGTGAAAACGGTTTGGATGGGGGCAGACGATGTTCCTCTTTTTGCTTTGACGATATTTACGTCCGTAAGTGCAGGGCGCTTTTGAGCAGATTTGGGAGTTTGAATTTGCGAAAAAAGAACCTGTGATGACGCAAAATCACCACTTGCATTGACATCTGACTCCATCTGACTGCGTCTGACTCCATCAAGGAAAGGAAAATAAGACACTTACCAGATCAAATTTTGTTAGTAATCTTTCACCAAAACAAGTATACAGCACAATATTTAGAATCTCAATCGTAAACACACGGGTCAGTATAAAACACGTGTGTTAGACAACACACCAACGAGCAGAATCCTATATCTTTCTAATTTGTGGCAGAAAAGAAGTAAAGTAAGTATTTGGGAAATCGTCAACCATTGAGACCATTGATGTATTTAACTTTTGACAGTTCGAATTGTAGTCCGTTAGTGATGTCCTGATGCGTTTCAGATTCGATTTTTTTTATAACAATCGATTTTACTTATGAAGATTTTAATTATGTAACGTAGATTATTCAAGTTGATAAATTTTGGTACCTGTCTGTCTAATAAATTACAATAAAATTATATAAAATAAATAAATTATAAATAAATTTTTGTTGTTTATTACAATGAATCGTCGGATTCTGCTCCATATGAACGGGAATCATCACTTAAATCCTTATTAACATTAATTATTAATTCTTGAGTACACAAATTGTGAAACCCTCACGATCCCAATCAGACAATAACTTCTTTTTTGAACCCGCTCACGTTCACGATTAAAACTTCTTCCTAAATAAAATCGATTGTTGTAAAGAATCGAATCGGAAACGCATTGTGACATCGCCAGTTGATTAGAATTCGAGCTGTCAAAAGGTAAATAAATGGTTGAACGAAGTACCTATAGGAATTGTTATGTATGATGTCCTGACACTGACCGAAAGGAATTAATTCCTTGTGCACGAACTTACAAGTTCACCTGTTTTTTAGTTCAGTAGGAATAGGAACTGTTTGCGGAGCCACAGACGCGGTCAAGGCGATGGGAGCGAGATAATTAGTGGACGTTCCTTAGGAATAAGTTTTGAACCTTAAAGGCTTGAGTTGCACGGTTGAACCTTGCCAGCTCGTCTAGGAAGCAAATTTAAAATAAATTGAACTTGTTTCATTTACTTTTATTTTCTTCATCAAATTCAACACACTTGCACGCCATGATAATATACATTATTATTAATTTAAAATATATATACATTAGACAACATCACATACCTACGTTGCTCAGATCTCAAAGTAAGTAGCTATAGCACTTGTGTTATGAAAATAAAAACAACGATGGTACCATCACGAACCAAACATAAAATAAAAGCATTTGTACCATAATTACTTAACCGATAGAATTGGTGCACCTACATATGTACCAAAAGATAAATTAAATGTCATGAACCATAAATATAATAATCTACTTATACTTCAAGGACTATGACAGAAAGCTGTGGAAAGAATCCTGCAATTTTACCTTAAGAGTTCTTACTACCTCAGCTCGGATTCGTTTTCAATCAATAATAATAATAATAAATTTATTATTCATTATTCCCAAAAATTTTCAGGAGTGAAAAATAACACTTGAAAAAACATGAATTTTTTTTAGAAAAGGAAAATTTTGAATCCGAGCTGAGGTAGTAAGTAGTAATGTATATAATATCCTCAATTTTACTATATATTTTATCCAGTGATCGATTCAACACTTTCACTGTTATGTGAAATCAACCAAAGCCATTTGAGGTAGCGTAGACTCTTAAAGAGTAAAAGTGGTATGCTGAAATGCAATAAGATATGCATGTGATACCTTGGTACCATTAATGCAAAGCGTACAGCAGTCGGAAGTTCAGTTCAATTCACATGAGCCTAAACCACAACCTGGTTCAAACTCAACTTAAGAAATATCCTCAGTAGCACCACGATTAATAATAATAATAACACTCATTCTTGTATTCAGATTATCTCCATATTGTGTTAGTAACAATTATAACCTTATGCCCATTGACTTACAATTATATAGACGTCGGGTCCGCGCTAAAAAGTGTCCGCACTTGTAAGGCGCTAAAATCGTATAAAGAGCGCGACGCTCCGCTTTAGTCTTCATTTGTTCTACTGTCAGCGCGATACTGCGATGACATTACAATTTAAATTTCGAATAGGTTGACTTGGGACATTTTTTTCGTGGTTTTTGTATTAGACCCGTCATCCATTTATTTGTAAGTCAATGCTTATGCCTAAGTTAGTGAACACACAAATACATATTGACACTTGAAAGGCAAAATGGGATAAGCAACACTTTTGGGTCATATCAGCTAATGTTTCTGTTCCAATGGTGAAGTGAAAAGTATTGCTTATGTCATTTTGGCTTTCAATTGTCGATATTTTCATTTTTATTTAATGTATGGTCTTTCAACAATGCAACTCTGACAAGTCTGTAACAGGTCACACTGCTACTATGAGTCTTTGTATGGTCGTTGAGATAACATTTTCTTCTAAAACCCTTATTGCAAATATCACACTTGTACGGTTTCTCGCCAGTATGAACCATCAAATGCTGCTTGAGAAAATATTTTTTTACAAAACCCTTATTGCAAATATCACACTTGTACGGTTTCTCACCAGTATGAATCATCAAATGCTGCTTGAGAAAATATTTTTTTACAAAACGTTTATGGCAAATATCACACTTGTGTGGCTCCTTCCCAGTATGGTTCATTAAATGATATTTCAATAAAGTTTTGTCCCCAAAACATCTGCTGCAAATATTACACTTGTATGGTGTCTGTCCAATACAAGACTTTACATGACTATTCCGATTTGCTTTACTGTGAAAAGATTTGTTGCAATGTTCACACTTGAATGGTCTCTCTCCAGTATGAAGCCTCAAATGTTGTCTACAATAGGCTTTGCTGGCAAAAGATTTATCACAATGTTCACATTTGTACGGTTTCTCTCTAGTATGAGTAATTAAATGTTGATTAAGGTTTGCTTTACTGTAAAAAGATTTGTCACAATGTTCACACTCATATGGTTTCTCTCCAGTATGAAGCCTTAAATGTTTATTAAAATAAGGTTTACTGTTAAAAGATTTGTTACAATGTTCACATTTGTATGGTCTCTCTCCAGTATGAATGATTAAATGTTGGTTAAAGTTTGCTTTACTGTTAAAAGATTTGTTACAATGTTCACACTTGTATGGTTTCTCTCCTGTATGGATAATTAAATGTTTGTTGAGATATGATTTTTGGGTAAAAGATTTGCTACAGTGGTTACACTCATATAGTTTCTCTCCAGTATCAGTAAGTTTATGACTAATTTTGTTGACAGTAGGTGGCTGCAACACCACTGGACCTATGACCACCTCTTTCTTGATTTCATGATCTGCATACAGATTCAGCGTCTCTGTGTTATGTTTTTCCTCAACATCAACTGGCTCTTGTTTGATATTCACAAGCAAACCCATTGGGCTGTTTTCCAATTCACTTGCCTCCTCCTTAACATTCACAATTTCTTGTTTTACGTCCATGTGTGACATTGTTAGCTGTTACAGACAATTTAATTGTAAACTTACTATTGTAATATGCACAAAGGGACAATTACTTTTCACGGTGAGTTCAGAGTGCTATCCAAGGTTGTTTTAATCTGAAACAAATTGCAATTTATAAATGAACTTACGTTTAACAGATTTAAATCCAGTATTCAGTGTTGGGCAAGTTTATTGCCAAAATAAGACTTTTCCATGTTAAGTCTGCCAAATTGCATCCAAATCTTTGCGTAAGTGTTGGTGTGAACAACGAACTAACATCATGCCTTCTATGAGAGCATTTTATCAACTTCTTTAACCCATGAATGTACGACTCACTGTGCGGCACTGAGATATAAGGAAAACTGGGAGTTTTCAAAGAACTGTGTACACCTTTTCCGACTGACATGTAGGTTTCATCACAACGCTTTCGTTCTGCGTTCAAGCCTCAAGCAACTATTTCTTTTCTGCACAAACGTAGAGTATACCAAGCACAGACACTATACTCACAAGATACCAAGGATACTACGATTTTGTGATCTTCGAGTACCTTAGACTATGGAAACTAAGGGTCAAGTAATGTTGATATAAATCAGAGGTTATATGGTAGTTTCCATCTTAGAAGATGGAAAAAAAATAAAAGAAAGAAGGTGCCCTAACTACGGAATGAACGTGCATCTGCATACCTTTTTTTTTTTTTTTTTTTTTAAACAAAAATTGAACGAACAAATGGCGGATTTCTTCAGTGTCGCACCATAATCTATCGATAAGCCATTATCGACATGCAAACATTTAATTAAAATAGATCAATATTCCATTTGGGAATATTTTAAGTTACATGGGAATATCCGGAAATGTCACATTAAAATTTTGAATTTACTGTTTTGCGTTTACAAATACTACAATATTACGAAAAGTGAATTTGCACAGAAAAATGTAATTTGAGAGTATACATCGAGTATATAACCAGAAATATAGACGAAATATCATTTAATTTCTTTAAAAACTATTCAGCCATATCATTACTGTGACAACTGCGCTCCGATTGGCTAGCCCGAGTTCGAAACAATTGACGGGTGTCATCAACTGTTTCACTTCAAATCCACCAGTTCACTTGAGCTTTGCTATAATGGACGAAAATTGCAAAATTACTTATTTAATTACCAATTAAATGTGATTCCATTTGTTTTGTAATTAGATGTTTTGCTGTTTTTCTCACACCACCTAATAGAACAGCACGGCATTGTTACAGATATTATCTTTATTACAATAAATACACAATATTTTTTGGAATATTCCGAGACGTACGCACAGGTCAGTAGTTGGCCTGTCTATATTTCAGTGCAAACGGGAGTTGATATTTATAAGAGCTGTATCGCTAATGCGTTACTAGGAATATATGGCCCTTATTTCGTCTCTATTTCTGGTTATATACTCAATGAAAGTATATAAAAAAGAGAAAACTTTGAAATATAACTCCTATACATTTCCAACCTCAATATTCATATTTTCATAGAGAAATTTTTAAACAGATTCCAAATAGTGTAGGCTTTTTTGTATTTATGCATTGGTACAGAATTAATATCAGTGACTGATTTAAGTGAATCTTTAATACTTCCATTTAATTTTGGAAATAAATGAAAGTAGTAATATTACCAATTTACACACAAACAAAATTTCGTTATTCAAACTAAGGCCTATGTAAAGGTGTTTTGAGAATTCATATATCTTATTTCGTTTCGGAAATATAAAACCGAACAACAGTCGAACAGACATCCACAGCGAAGAAGAACGAACGAAATGTTCTATGTCCTGAGAACAAGTAGTCTTGCACATAGATCTTGTTCTACTGATGAGCCGATATATTAAACAGCATGCAAATGTCTGATTATACAATGTTAATTGACTACTATTGGCCGAGCGCCTTTGATTTGTACAGAAAAAACAACACTTCTACGACGTGAGACAAGTAGCCACGAGCGACTGCAAGTTGTGACAAGCCACGTCAAAGGAACACGTTAGCGCTCGCCTTCACTAGGTCAGCAGTTCCACCGAACGATGGCAAGGCAAGGCAAGGAAAATCGGCTGTCTATACGTTGGTATTAGCCTTCACCCGACAACATTGGACCAACATGGTCATTGCATTGCTGGCTTTATAAAATAAGAATTTTTAGTAGTTAGAGTTGTCAGTGGGAAAAAAATCTGAAACGAGTGGATAATTTTGTTTTCAGGAACCGAGAAAGCCTATTATATGAGTCTTGTTTAATCTAAATTAAATATAAAAATATTTACCAATACACCCAATGATGGAATTGCATTATCATGTAATCTAGTTACATTCAAAGTTATGTTAAAATTTTACTCTTCAAAATGAAGCGAATAAATGAAAATGGTCCTTGATTCAATGTTTAGTATATTCGGCACTATTATACGGCGGTATGATTTCTAACCATTCTTTTTTCTTTTTCGATTTGTAGGTAAACTTGAAATAGTAAAGACAATAATAAGAAAATAAGAAAAACCTCGTAGTGAATTATTTTAATAACAGAATATCGACAATATGTACGCTTCCAAGAACAACACTATCTCAAAATAATCGTTAACAACAATCATCAAAATATATAAACAAACAGGCAATCTGAAGAAACCAAAGCAAAACTTAGCAAGATTTATGAATAAACACTTAAATATGTCTAATTACATGATATATTTGGACTTTTGTGTTATTTATAGACAGAAAAATAATACGTGCCTGTACAATGTTACGTTCGGTCGATCATTGCTTTTTCAAATACATGCGAATAATTCAATAAAACACTTGGAAAAACCATTTGTTTTGACATTTGATGTACTTACCTTTGACAACCGTATCATGTACTGCAAAATTGACACGGTTGGCATTTAAGATGACGTTACGTATTTTCGATTCTGATGTTTGACACAGACCAGTGTAATGTTATCTCTTTGGTCTTAAGACGGCACGCAATAGTTCAGTGCTCACTGCAATACTCAAGTCCTGACTTGAGCATTGAGTACAGTTCTGGAATACGACCCTAATGGCAAGGACTTGAATATGATTTTAAGGGTCGTATTCTAGAACTCTACTCAATGCTCAAGTTAGGATTTGAGTATGGTTTAAAGCACTTGATATCATACTCAAGTCCCTGCCATTAGGGTCGTATTTCCAGTGCTTGTGTTGCCAGTGCAATCCTGACTTGAGCATTGAATAGAGTTCTAGAATACGACCCCTAGTGCTTTGAATCATACTCAAGTCCTGACTTGAGCATTGAGTAGAGTTCTAGAATACGACCATAAGGCTCTAACAACCACAAACCTTTTTTTAAATTATTTGTTGACCAAGGATTTAAGTATTTCAGCCGAAAATATTACATTTCACAAACTTCAAATACTAATAAAAATGCGAAATTAACTTTGTTACATTTTCACGTTTAATTTTAGCATATAACGAACCATTTATGATGAATTTTGGTATAGATAGATGGGACTGTTTGTCACTAAAACAAATCTAAAAGGGGGTAAAATAGGAGATGAAAATTTGTACAGAGAACCAATAAAACTACGAAAACTAGTCTAGTACATTCAGGAGCATATAACCAACGACGAAGTGTCAACCGACAGTTATCCGGCCGGATCGAAGGCTTTTTTCTTAGTGTCCGATTTTTGTATTAATAATTATAACTATACTAGTAGAGTAATTTCACAAAAAATAATTGAATGTCATGATGGTGAAACATTTAAATCAATAAAAATTTTATAATAATTGTTGTTTTCAAAGTATCCCCACATAGAGTTATTAACTCAAACCTAAGCTAGTGAACACACAAATACATATTTTAATTTAATGTTATGGTCTTTCAACAGTGTGACACATCATTATTCGTAACAAGTTTGTTACAGGTCACACTCCTAGGTTTCTGCCTACTATGAGTCCTTGTATGGTTCTTCAGATCACATATTGTTATAGAAATTTTATTGCAAATATCAAACTTGTATTGTATGATTGTAGTAGGCTTCCTTAGTAACTATTAACGTAATCTGTGGTATGGCTTACTATATGGTACTGAAGTGCTGCTTTTCTTATAAAATACTTATTGCAAATATCATATCACACTTGTGTGGCTTCTCAACAGTACGAGGCCTTAAATAATAATCATGATATCGTCTGTTAAAAGGTAAAACCACATAAGTGACATTTCTACAAAAAGTCTTAATATGGCTATGGTAAGAAAATCACTATCTTTCTGCAGGTGAAACTCAAGGTTTTACCTTTAATCAGACGATATGCTTTCCTGTTAAAAGTTTTGTTACAATGTCCACATTAGGATGGTCTCTCTCCAGTATGAGTCCTTAAATGAATATTAAGACTTGCTTTATAGTTATAAGTTTTGTTACAATGCAAATGGTCACACTTATATGGTCTCTCACCTGTATGGATTATTAAATGTCTGTTAAGAATATATTTTTGGGTAAAAGATTTGTTACAATGTTCACACTTATATGGTCTCTCTCCTGAATGGATTATTAAATGTCTGTTAAGAGCATATTTTTGGGTAAAAGATTTGTTACAATGCTCACACTCATATGGTTTCTCTTCTGTATGGATTATTAAATGTCTGTTAAGAGCAGATTTTTGGGTAAAACATTTGTTACAACATTCACATTTGTACAGGTTCTCTGCACTATGGGTCATTAAATGTACTTTCAGATGAGATTTTTGGGTAAAAGATTTGTTACAATGTTCACACATATATGGTCTCTGTCCAGTATGAGTCCTTATATGATAATTATGATTTGTTTTACTGTAAAAAGATTTGTTACAATATTCACAGTTATATGGTTTCTCTTCTGTATGGACTATTAAATGTTTCTTAAGGACAGATTTTTGGGTAAAGGATTTGTTACAATGTTCACATTTGTATGGGTTATCTGTAGAATGAGTCCCTAAATGAATATTATGATTTGCTTTACAGTTAAAAGTTTTGTTACAATGTTCACACTTATACGGTCTCTCTCCAGTATGAAGTCTTAAATGTTGATTAAAAGTTCCTTTTCGGATAAAAGTTTTGTTACAATGTTCACATTTAAATGGTCTCTCTCCAGTATGAGACTTTAAATGATAATTAAGATATGCTTTAATGGTAAAAGATTTGTTACAATGTTCACACCTATATGGTCTGTCTCCAGTATGAGTCCTTAAATGATAATTGTGTTTTGCTTTACTGTAAAAAGATTTGTTACAATAAACACAATGATATGGTTTTGCTCCTGTAAGGATCATTAAATGTCTGTTAAGAGCAGATTTTTGTGTAAAAAATTTGTTACAATGTTCACACTTGTAAGGTTTCTCTCCTCTATGGGTTATTAAATGTCTGACAATAACAGATTTTCGGGTAAAAGATTTGTTACAATGTTCACACTTGTATGGTTTCTCTCCTGTATGGATTATTAAGTGTCTGTTAAGGTGAGATTTATTGGTAAAAAATATATGACAATGTTCACATTCATGTGGCTTCCCTCTTGTATGGATAATTAAATGTCTGGTAAGATTTGACTTTTTGGCAAAAGATTTGCTACAGTGCTCACACTTGTTTGATTTCTCTCCAGTATGAGTCAGTTTATGACACATAAGTTTATGGCTGCTTATAAAATCTACATTACAAATATTACATTTATAAGGTTGAGTACAAATATTCAACTTATCAGATGTGCTTTGCACACATTTTGCTTCACCGACAGCAGGAGGCTGCAACATCACTGGGCCTATGACGATTTCTTCTTTGATATCATGATCAGTATACAGATCCACCGTCTCCGTGGTGTGTTCTTCTGCAACACCAACTGGCTCTTGTTTGATGTCGATATTTACCTGTAAACCCATTGGGCTGTTTCCTAATTCGCTTGCCTCCTCCTTAATGTTCATAATATCTTGTAGGTCCATGTGTGACATTGTTAGCTGTTATTTAATTGTATACTACTATTGTAATGTGCTTACAGGTATAATCACTTCTCACAATGAGTTTAGAATTTCAGTTTTAATCTGAAACAAAAAGCAACATAGGTGCATAAATGAATTATACATATTTTATTATTTAACAGACTTTAATCCAGTATTCAATGTGGAATGACTTCAATATTGAATAGGTTGGTTGACAAGAAAGGCTTTTCCAAGCTAACTCTACCAAATTGTCATAAAATTAGTATTACATGTGAACATTACTGCGTTCTGGTGTGGAAGGGCAACGGTGCTGGTGAAATTACAGACACATGGGACTTGTCAGCTTATGTTTCAGGGCTATGTAAAGGACGCAGTGGCAGTGCCCTTAAGATCTTTACGATTTAACGCACTGAGTAGCACTGCATCAGTTATGGACAGGCGTGTCGCTTACCACTAGGCGCACGACTTGTTGGTCTCGTCATTTGGTATTTTAAAAAAAAATCTAAATACTTGAATTATATAGTTTTGGTGTGACCTTTTCGACTGACATGTAGAATTGATCACGACGTTTTCTGTCTGACTTCTAGCAATTGGATAAAACTTACACCTATCGAAGTAACTGCAGCAAAAAATCACACCACAGATAACTATAGACAAGTAGAAATCATACATTCTTATTTCTTCTTTTTTTTTTTTAATTTATTAAGGCTTTGGCAAAGCCATCAGCCTAAACATGAAGTTTAATTATGTTTCTGTAACTACGGCCGCTACAAAAAGGATAGGCAATTTGAGGCCGCGTGTTTGGATTGATTCGGGATTCCTTAAAACGGGCCGATACGGGTATTTCAGTTCGAGATTCGTATAATTTCGCGTTTTAATCTTCGATTAAGGCACAATAGCACTATCCTGTTCCACTTTAAACTAGATTTCACAAAATAATTGAAAGTCAAAATAAAAACGACACTTCCCTCCAAAAGGTCCAGCGAATCCACAACAAACAGAGTCAGATTTCAATGATTCCATAGTTTATAGAGATCACTTTTTTTTTGTT